ACAGTGTCTGTACCGCGATACTCCGAGCTGCTTCTGCAAACATCACGCTGAACACAACTCACACCATTTTTTAAGCTGAAACGGCTTTGTACTGTGTTTTTTTTTTTCCTATTGCAAATGATTCGGGTAAGAGGGGAAGTTGGAAAAGCGGTCTTCTTCTCCCTGCTTCGAATCGACGAAGCGAGCTCATCAAGGCACCTGCAGGAATCTTACTAAAATTTCTGCAAAATTTTGACAACACGCATAAACTGGAGAAGTATTCTGCAGGCTTAGCACGTTTCTCCCTAAAAGAAACTGCAAAAACCGACTACTTACGCCTCCCTGTTTGAAAGGAAGGGAGAGAGATTAGTAAGTGATGCAAACGGAGTCACTGAATGGATGAGCAAAGTAATATCTGTTGAAAGCTATTAGTGCAAGCCACGTTACGAGAAAACGAACGGAGCGTGAAGTATCGCCCGGGTTGCTGACTACGCAGCTTGGTGAGATCGGGCCCGAGTAGCGACATCACCAGAAACGTGAACTTGCCTTTCTCGTAGCCCTGCAAGAAAGTAATACTACGCCTTTCCAGATCAGTTGTGTTATAAGCGAACTTATGGAAAAACTGGTGGAACAGAGTCGAGACCCGCCTTCGGAGAAGACCTTTCTGTTTTTCAGTTAAAGGAACCAAATTTGTCCCTGATCTTGGCAGCCCAGGTAATTTCAACAATCCATGAGCCATTTCTTATAGCCAACATTTTCTTGAAAAGCCTAATTCGAAAATCACTGTGTTATCCAATGGGTTTCACGTAAAATACCGTGCTGTGAAAATGGAATTACAAAAGTAGTCAGTATAGCTCACATGGCTGGTTTGTCGAAAATGAAAGCACTAAATCATCGACCCGAAAAGAAAGAGGACGAGGAATCCGAGCACGGGTTAGTGCCGAATCCAACCGGAGGAAGTTTTTTGGCCACAGAAAGTAAGTACCATTTGCAGAGCTGAAAAAAAGCGAGGTGAGAAAACTTACGCAGTCATACATTTTGCAAATGTGTAGGCACTGCCGCTCGTTAGCTGCTCGCAACACAGCTATTTCCATTTTAAGTATTTTTTTGTCAAATTTTTCAACTTTCAAAGCCATTTCTCTGAAACTACGAGCACACTGAGGAATACTGCTACAGGAAAAACTATGGCGTTATCTCAATCATTTTCTTCTCTGCCCCCTCTGCCCTTGCCCATCCGTCTAAAGAATAAGTTGTTTCCAGGAATCAACTCGTTTTTCATGGGCCACCAAACGAAGCCTCATCGGTTCTTTTTGTGTTGCCCTTTGTTAGCTCAGGCCCCAAAATTCAGAATTACGAATTTAATTCCGCAACAATATTAAACTGTTGTCATTGTGGCCATGTAAGAAAATCGGACCCGAAGAGCACGGCGTACTGCTTGCCTTGCCGAGGACGGCACTCATTAGCGATTGGTACTCACGAGAAAGATTTGAACCACAACACGGGCCACCTCCAAAAAGATGACTCACATACATTGAACGGGCGGCACATGCAGCCCAGGGTTGAAGGACCACTCCAATAACATCATCTACAAGGGGAACCCAGACACTTGTTGAGTTTCGGAAGACAGGCCGTCACTTGCCCTCTGCCCCTTCTTAACTTCGGAGGGACAAAAGTCTGTCTCAGATGCTTGTTTGTGTGTTTTTCTCAGAATGGCTCGAAATTTCGTTATGACTTCTGTGTGGATTAGTATGACCTCCAGTCATTTTCGCTTCTGGCCAGAAAAACAGTGCCATAGCTCCCTTCGCCAATCGCTGACACCACTGTGTACGCTCTGTTTGCAGTGGAAATTACAGTATCTCCGACAGTCGGAAGCTGATCGCCATTTGTAGAAGCCTCGTCATCCATTACATATGGCTTTGGAAGAGCGCTTTCCAGCCACTTCAGCAACAAATTCGCCGAAAAGAACCGAGCACTGGTAGGAAGTAAGGTAAGAATGCGAGAAACTACTTCCCGTGTTCCTTTTATAGGCCCGGAAAATTAATTTACTTTGCATGGGGAAACTGGAATACAACTTGCAATGATCAATGTTAGGTCGATGGGATGACTAGAGAACGTCGAGAGCTGTTTGCATAAATCAAAAATTTTGAATACTGAAGGCAAATTTGAATAATTTTATTTTCGCAAACCCAAAATTTATGCAAACTATTTGTAAAGACACTTGAATACTTGAAGAAGACACGATCCATAGAGGTAAAAGATGTAAATACTAATTATTTTTCGAGTTGTCATTATTTTACCGAAACGACTCCGTCATGCTGAATGTGATATATTGATTTCGTCAGAAAGTCAATAAAAAATGCTGTTTATCATTCGTTCTTTACTCTCTTCGAAGGGCTGAACGTCTGCAAGAAGCAGTTGTGGACACAAGTTCATGCTCTAACAAGTTGACCGATTTTTGCAGTGAAAGTTTGACGCCGTTGGCTGGGTTTCTAGTAAATGAGGTTGGGATTTTGACTGTCCCAAAATGCTGTCCCTCTCAGGATCACCTTTCGTATATTGGTCTCGTCTTTAGTTCGGTCTCTTCCAAAGCATATCATAACCGGTACGGCCCTCAGTGAAATATATTTGTCCAGCAGTTGGGAGAAGTCAAAAAACTGTTTTGCAGGATTTTGAATAAATTAAAACCGAATGGCAAGAGAAGATCTAAAAAATTATTTCCCCCGTTTACAAACTGTACGCGAGAAATTACCAGCCAACAGCTGTTGAGGTTCTTGTGAGCAACAGCAAAAAGAAAAAGTTGCATTTAAGTCAACTTGGTTTGCATACATAAATGCTATTATCACAGCTATTTCCTTTATTTCGTCAAAAGGCAAAAACTGCATTTTCTTGTTTGCACTGGTCTAAATTTATACAAAAAATCTATGGTGAATGGAGTTGTCAAACGCAACGTAGGGACACCTTCTACGCCATGTGCACCAGCGATAAGACCAGTGCAAACATGTGCGAGACAATGAAGAATCAACCCTATCGAAAGCCATCGTTTTGAAGCCACTTCGTCTTCAGCCAAAAAAATGACTAACTGCTATTATTACTACCACATTACTGTTGCTATTGTTACTATCGTTTTATTAGTTAGAGTTTCCAATCATTAGAAAATAAATTAGTAAATTTTCATTTTGCATCCCTTATGTCATTTGTTGTCCATACCAAAGTTTGAAAAAGTTCGGCAATACCACATTTCCTAATACACTT